CACCAACAGTCAGGACAGAGACGGATGTTTACGTCACCGGCTGCAACGTAGGAAGGGTGCGCACCGGAGTTCCAGCGGCAGCTTCCCCGATTGTGTACAACCGTGTTGCATGAGGCACAGACTGGGCCAACCTGGCCACGACACCAAGGGCATGGGTTGGCCGGCGAGCTCCAGGAAGGGAGGCAAGCACCTCTACAGTCTACAGGTCCAGCAAGCTACTATGCAATCAAGGTGTGCAGGAGGTGAACAGCGGCAGGGCACTGCAAGGGCGGAGACTGCATCCGACCAAGTTGGCCTCGGTAGGCCCCAGTGAGCATTTCCGGCGACAAGGAAGGCCCCGCCGGAGTCCAGTAGCGCTTGCGCTAAGGCTGGTTCGCGCACACGCTGGCAGGCTGCTGCTCGCAGTCGTCGCACTGCCACTTCACAAGGAAGGAGAACCCAGCGGATTTCTCGCACCCGGCGAGACCGAGGATGGCAACAAGGTCCAATGCCGAACTTTGTTCAAGGGGGTGGGCACTCGGACTATGTGGCTGGAACTGAAGGACGATGTCGTGAAGCACATCCAGACCAGCTTCAAGCATTCTGAGGCCAAGCCACGAAAGACGATCAAGCCTAGAAAGGCCAAGGCCAGGAAGTAGGTTTTCGTCAGCAGGGCAATTTGCTCGTTGGCAGGAACATATATCATGTGTGCACATGTCGCATAATTTTCTCTCGCTGGCATGCAGGAACTTCATGTGCCAAATATGCCGGTTGCTGCAAGTGCTTGCTTCCTCGTGGTGCTCGGTTCTGTGCACGTGCATCGGTCTCCTCATGTATCGGTTGCGACATGTGGCTCAGGCTTCGAGCTTTTTTCGTGTGCAGCTGTAGCCTGTGTAGACCATGTCGTGCACGGGTTAAAGCTGCATGATCGGCCCTGATGTGGCGGAGGCCTGGTTCCTGTCTCCCATGCAACCAAAAAGATGTGTGTGCTGGTCAGGACTCACCGCAATGGTGGGCCTTTGAAAGGTGCGGGCTCCTGGAGGCATTGATGCCGAACGAGGACAGTTCCCTTATAAGCCCCTTTAAACCAAAAAGTGCATCCTTTTTTTGCAGGACGACACATGGAGCAACAGCAGCTGTGTCCTTGGTTGGCACCGGCAGAAGAAGAAGTGGAGAGTCCTCGACATGCTAGGCCGGGGATGTGCCATTGTCCCACATTTTCATCGTCTCTTCTCTGCAGGCAACCTCCTGTACAAGCACGAGAGCCGCGAGGAGACACCCCCGACCGAAGGCATGCAGGTTTTTACAGGGTTGTGTTTTCAAGGGTTTCGGGTTTTGTAGAGTTTAGGGTATATACGGGTTCATGGTTTATGGTTTATATAATATATGGTGTTATATATTATATCTTCATAATGTAGGTGTGCAGCATGTGTACACAGAAAAGGCGCTCAGGTTCCTAACTTTTACATATTTGTGTTTATACATATATACATACATACATACATACATACATACATACATACATACATACATACATACACACACATCTGTATACACATGTATGTGTGTATGTATGTATGTATGTATGTATGTATGTGCGAGACATATATATATATATATGCCCATACATATATATATATATATACATACATATATGTTACAAACTATATATACACACTATACAGCACAACCACAAAGGCCAAAAGCCTTCAATCAAACATGAAAACCCCCAACCCCGAGCCTATTTGTGCTATCTCAGTCTCGGCAGGTTGGCTGTGCCAGGATTGGGAGGGCAAGTGGTGCCCTGCTGAGCTTGTGCTCCAGGCCCGGGCCTAGAGCAAAGAAGTGAACTTCATGTGTGTTTCGATCTGGTGTGAGGAGATCGATGCCAAGGACTACGAGGTGATGAAGAAGGAAAAGGAGCCGGATCTGCCAAAGGTATTGCACTCAGTGCCCAGGTTGAACGATGTGAGTTGTACTTGCACTTTCAAAACAACCAGGAAGAAGACGGCGAGTTCGAGGAGGTTACATGTGAGGAGCCCGACAAGAAGAACAGTGTCGCTGTGTTCGTGGTCTTGCATTTAAAATAACGACTTCGGGAGGAATGGATGCCTCCTAAGCCGAAGAAGCGGCCGAGGGAGACCCCGGCCAAGGCGAAGATTGCATGTGTGTTGCGGTGTACAAAACATGTTGTGTATGGCAGGCTTGCAAGAAGCCGGCCGAGCCCAAGGAGCCGCCGCCGAAATCCAAGAAGGCCTCTTGTTTTCTTGAGATGGGCGGGGGGGGGCCTTGTCATTGCCTGCTTGCCAGGCCAAAATGCCATGGATCCCACCGCCACCCCCGGCTCCAGCCGCCAAGGAGGGGTCTGCCTGGTCTCCTTGATGCCTTCGTGGGTTTTTGTTTGCTGTCCTTGCTAGAACCCATCGGCTTCGTCCTCGAGCACACCGCCGCCTCCGCCTTCGGGGGTCGTCCAGAAGGACGGTGCAGGCTGGAGGGTGGGCGGCTTTTATCATGATGGCGAGAAGTGGAACCCGCCCGGCACTCAAGGAGGACTGCATGCATGTTCATAAAAACAGAAACCAGCAAGCTTTTGGATGAGGCCTGGTGCTGGCCGGACAAGAGCCAGGAGTCGGGGCCAGGGGGCGGCGAATCTGGCATGGTCGGTGGTGCCCCAGCATGCACTTAACCCCACATAAACACCCTAAGCCCCAGACCTTACAAGAATGTCTTCTCAGGTCTCGACACAGTCCGAAAGTGTGGCGAGGCTCATCGACCACATGCTGGACCAGGCTTTCGTGACATTACATGTGCACCACCCATGCATGCAGTCACTAGCAGCGAGCACTGCCCTGCTGCTGTGTTTCGGTGGCAGGACAGGCATGGTGGCCACGGCAAGTGAGCCGGTGGGCTGCCTGAAATTGGCGCCGGCGGGGCTTGCCTCTGAAAGGGGGTTGGGGAGCCGGTGCTGGTTCCTAAAAAACTGTAGCCTAAGGACTCTGGCAATAGTGGACTGCTGCATAGGCACTGGCACAGTGCTGTATAGGCACTCGCAAAGGCTTCGGAGCACAGTCTTCCCAACCTTTCCGACCTAGGTCCTCGTGTGCTTTTGCGGCGTCCTAGCTGGCTGCACAGCCCGATGTATGGGATCTGGCCACAGACCGGTTTTTATTGATTGATAAAACCCGGGACCCTGGACCCAGCCCAGATTTATCGATCGATAAAAATTGTAGCCTAACCCCAGCCCAGGATTTATAGATCAATAAAAATGGTAGGCCCAGGCCTTAGAATACACCAACAGATTTATCAATCTATAAATCTCGGTACCCTGGACCCATCCCAAATTTATCGATCGATAAAAATGGTGATTCCCAGCTGTAGATCTATTACCTTGTGACCGAAAACCTAAACCCCAACTTAAAATCAAAAAACAACTCCCAAACCGTTGCTCCCAAACCATCAACCCCAATCCCCGAACCCCGAACCATCTGAAACCTTTACCCTGGCAGGCTTCAAAGGGTTTGTGGCAGGGTCTTGGAAACATCGGGGTTGTCCCGGTGCAGATCTGTTCCAGCCCAGCAGCAGAGGGTTTCGCCTAGTGGTCGTGACCCTGGGGTTCAGACTTTTCGTGCTTCTGGTTCGTGCACCTGGCGGCCTGGGGGGCTGGGTTTCTGGTTTCACGGGCTTCTGCGTTCAGGAAAATACGATTTGTGCTTGTACATTATCATCTAAGATGTACGAGGGTATTGCTATGCATGTATAGCCACACTGTGTATATTTGGGGTATATACCATATACATTGTTTTCGGAGGACGAGGGATCGTGGTTTACGTATATATAGGTCTGTATGTGTGATATGTATGTATGTATATCTATAGATATAGAATATGGGCATTATATACTCCATGTAGATATGTCTGTGCAGACATATATATATATATATATATATATATATTTGTATATGTATGTATGTGTACAACCCATGTAGCTGTACACATATATGCATGTGTCTATATTAGATGTTTCTTATTCTCTTGTGATGTAGAAACTATATGTGACTTTATAGAAGGATTTTCGGACATAGGAAGACGGGCATGTGCATGAGGTACACACACAAACACCGATAGCAGCTTTATATTTCGGGTGCCTGTTGCAACTGCTGCTATACAGGATTGTGCATGCTGCTGCATATTTGGGTTTTCGGACCGCACACTATACTGTAGGAGTGGCTGGGTGTAATCCTGCACCGTTGGCAAGCCATGTACAGCACGGCTCGGGCCTCGCCTGTAGACTACGGGAGCTGGGAATATATATCTATATATATATATATATAGATATTATATATACTTCTATATACTTCTATATATATATATATATATATATAGTCACGTATACATATATATAAGTATTTTGTTGCTCTCCTCCATAGATATCTATAGCTGTCCATATAGCCATATATATATGTATATTCTTACATCTACTTTAGTATACAGATGCGAGCTCCCATGCCAGGCGCCCTTGTCGAAGTCTCTTGCCTTGTACAGAAAGACTTAGCTGAGCAGGTGTGAGTTTGAAGGAAAATGCTGGCGACCGCAGAAGTCATAGGGAGGGCCGAGTGCATGTCGCATGCAGTCTGAAGCTTTCTTTGTGTTGCTATGTTCGGTCGATTCCACAGTCTGCCTTCACTGGTGCTTGTGTATATGATGCTACACATTGTATACCTTAATTGGCACTATGTACCGACAGGGGGCATTCGTTTTGATCCAGCCGGTTGGCACTCTGGAGTGCTCGCATGTGTGCTTCTTTGAAACTGCAGATGACATGGCATGTATATAGATCACACATGCACACTTCGTCTCGCAGGGCTGTAGAAGCTCGCCGGCAGGAACATGCATTGCATGGGTGTTAAAGGAAGCACATGCATGCATGCATGGCATTGTATACATCCATGATGCATTGCCTCCTTCATGGCTGCACGTGCATGCATGGAGTGCTCGAACGCTTTTGTGGTATTCCACACTCAGATTTCCGGCATGGCGACTTCGAAAGCCTTGGGCGACCAACTGCTCACCATCTCCTCACTCGCAGAGACCATGACAGACCAGACAACGAAAGACCGGATGATCGAGTCCTGTATGGAGTCTGCCAAGAAGCAGATTTCGGGTCTCCGGCTCACGGATTCAGCAGAAGTCCAGACACTGTTCGCTACGGCGCAGTCCTTGAACTTCAGCGACAGTCAGAAAGACGAGCTGATGCGGCAGATCGGTGATCGTTTCGTGGCATGCAGCACACCCAAATCACAGGGCAGCAAGAAGTGCATGCAGACCATGGACGACCCGGGAAGTTTCCTCCGGGCCTCGGATGTGACCTTCATCTCGAACCCAGACCACACCATTAAGGCCAAGGCAAGTCGGATGGCCATGATGTTTTGCAGCATCAACTGCAGCTGCCCGACGGAGCCTACTTCGGGCCGAGCTGTGGGAGTGCTCAAGAACGACTTTGGCCTCAAGGAACTCGAGGACCCTCAAGTGTTTTACAACACAGTTCAGGATTTCAAAGCAGCCTTGAAGTCGCACTTCAAGTCCAATCCCAGTGGGTCGACGAGCCATGTGCACAACTTCACGACACCGGCAGATCTACCCTCCGATGTGTATACGAGAGCATATGGTGAGGAAGGGCCGTCCGGACATGCCGGCCTGGGTGGCTCCATCGGTCCAGTTCGAAAGTCTTCTGCGATGTTGAAGAGCCAGAACAACCAGAAGGTTCCTACTCTAGACCTTCAGGTGCCTTCGCAGAACAACATGGCGAATATGATGATGCAAGGGTTCCAGAGCATGCAGCACATGTTCAATGTCTTCGCAGGTGCACAGCAGGCTGGCATGTCCGGCCAGCAGAACATCTTCATGAACAACACCAAGACGAACCCGCCGAAGCAAATTCTCGCACTCACGAATGGACCCGATGCAGCATCGAGTCCAGCACGTGCAGAGCCGGAGCAAGCTCAGCCGCCTATGACTCCGGAAGAGCAGGTGAACACCATGCTCTCCAGCTGGAAGAATCGTCAAGAGGAGAACAAAGCCGAGGATGGCAAGGCTGGTGATCCGGAGGGTGGCAGCGAGAAGGCCGAGGCGAAGGGCAAGGCAAAGCCAAAGAGCAAAGCCAAGGCAAAGGCGAAGGGCATGTGCAAGGCGAAAGCCAAAGCCAAAGCCAAGGCGACGACGAAGCCGATGGTTAAGGCTAAGGCGAAGGCGAAGACCAAGGCCAAGGCTGCCCCCAAGTCCAAGGGTGCCAAGAAGGTTCCGGATTGGGATGAACGAGTTCGAATGAGGCCATCAGGATGTGCAAAGTGCCGATGGAAGCGAGGCTGCTGCCCTAGTTGCTTTTTGAAGTAGAGACTCCTGATTCACATCGTGTCTCAGGCACTCTCACTCATGCATTATGAAGTCCGGCTGCACACGGGCTGCAGCAAGAGCATCTCAAAATGTGGCCGATGCATGTGTGCCCTGACATGTGACATGGAATGGAAGCTGGAGCTCCTGTGCATTGTTATAGAGGATGTGTGTCGTGAAAGGGTTTAGTGTATATCTCAGAGCCTATATACAGGTTCGGGGTTTCCGATTGGTACATATTTATATATATAGAGTTTAAACTATATACATATAGTGGGTCTGTATATCATATAATGTAAACATATAGGAAATGTATTGTATAGTCTGTTGGTGTTTTAAAGCTGAAGGTTCCTGGGGTTCGATCATAATATATTCGGAGTATTGTGCTGCAAACTTTACATGTGTGTGACAGCTCATCCATGCATGGAACATCGCCAACAAAGCTACACTAAAAGAGTCCGTGCTGCAGGGCCCTTGGCTCGTGGCCAGGACCAATTCCTGCACAGCTTGGGCATTGCCCGAATCATGACATCCAGCTCCAGCTCCAAACCTTTGGCAAGCCTGGGGAGGAAGGTGTTTGTATCACAACGAGGTCTGGAATCCGTGCTCAGCGATTTGAAGAAGACCGGTTTCCTCGCCGACGATTTTGCTACCACCTCGCGAGCCTCGATTAAGCGAGCGAGGGATGGTGAAGAGAAGTCGTGGGAGAATGCCTTTGGGCAGATGATCATTAACATGGACATCCCACATGAGAGCGATGACAAGAAATTTGTTAGGGTTCCCTTCGTGCCACCTGTTGTGCTGCTGCAGCACTGCATCGCCAACGAGCATTACCATGGACTGCTCAAAAAGTGTGGCCAGTCCAGCCCTGGAGACAAGCTGGGCATCGCTATATATGCTGACGAAGTTAGTCCCGGCAATCAGCTAAAACCGCTGAATGCCAGGAAACTACAAGTCATCTACTGGTCCATCGTCCAGCACGGGCAAGATCTGGCCTCGGAGTGGCTTTGGTTCCCTTTGTGTATACTGAGAAGCACTCTTTGCAATCGGATCGGCGGCCTCACTGTGCTTTGGAAACATGCCATCCAGCACATGTTCATGGATCATGACATGAGGCATGGTGTGGTGCTGCAGACATCCACCACAGCATTTCCCGTCTTTGCCGACCTCTCTGTTCTTATAGCGGACGAGGCAGCCCTGAAACAAACAGCTGAAAGCAAAGGTGCCTCGGGCACAGTGTTTTGTATGAGATGTGCGAATGTTGTTGCCCACCGAAGCGGGCTACAGGACCATGGCGATGTTCTCTCGTCGACATGCACTGACTTCACGAAGTTTCGCTTGCACACGAACCGGTCGGTCGGTGAAATCATGAGGTACCTCTCTTCCCAACATGGCACGGTTTCCCAGAAGGACTTCCAAACAATGGAAAAAGCTTTGGGCTACAACTACATGCCGGGAGGCCTCTTGATGTCGAATGTAGGACACAACATTCCGGAGATGATCATGTTCGATTGGTTCCACATTTACTTGGTCCACGGTGTGGCCGGTAACGAGGTTGGGGTGTTGCTAGGCCGCCTCCGAGACAGTGGCTTTCCCGAGCAACAGATACACGACTTCGTGCAATCCTTCCATTGGCCGGTGCAATTCGCTGGCGCGGATGCCAAGTCAGTTCTCGCCAAAAAGCGAGAGGACAAGACTGCCCCGGTGAAAGCAGAAGCCTCCGAGCTCCTTAATTTCCTGCCGGTCCTGCAGTTGTTCCTTATCCTCTTCGTCTGGAGGGATGCTGACGACTCCCTGAAGAGTTGCTGAGTTGCTGTCACGGATTCTTCACCTTGTGCAAAATCCTTCGCATGCTGAGGAAAGCCACTCAGGGTGGCTTGGACCCTGCTGCCCTCAGGGGTGCCCTCGCTAACTACGGGGCAGAGTACTGGGTTCCGAAGAACCACATGACCATGCACCTACCCGAATTCTTGTCTCGGCACGGGAGGCTGCTCTCGTGCTTCGTGCACGAAAGGAAACACAAGCTGGTCAAGAGGTTCGCAAACAACATGAAGGACACGTCCAGATCATACGAAGCTACCGTCCTTCGCGAGACCCTTGCAGCTCAGTTCCTTGCGATGCAGGACGAACTCCCTCAAGGGGATGTGCGACTCATCGGCAAGAGACGGTGGACGAAGGCAATGGCCAGCCTGATCCGGGATGTGTTCGGCAACTCCGACGGTGTGTTTCAAGCACAGGCAGCATTGCATGGCGGAGGATTCCGGTGCTCCCATGGAGATGTCGTCAGAGCCAAGCATGCACAGGAACACGTTGTCGGCATGATTCACTTTCATGTTGAAGTTGACGGCCTGCCTCTCACATGCATGAGTCCATGGAGCCATGTGGCCGATCACATGTACCGTGTGAAGCACGAAAGTTTCTTCATCAACACGGCATGCATTCTTTCGGCTTGCATCTGGTCTCGCAAGGGCGACGATGCCATCGTGTTGTTGGAGTGAGCTGCAAAAGTGCATGATCCTGCATGCGAGCCCACGGCCCTGCATTCGAACTCGTGCTGCGCTTCATGTTTGTGTTCACATAAAGCCCTCCCTCGCAGGTGCTGTTGACGTCGGCAACCACCAGATGCTTGGGAATGCAGGGTTTGGGGGGCTGATATTGGCTTAGGTTTACTTGTGTTTATGCTCATATGATGTCGGTTTCGGTGTCTATATTCATATAACTGGTATGTAGCTTGATTTCGATGTTTATGTAATGGTTTGCGAACATGGGCAACTTTGAAGGGCTTCCCCGCATAATATGATGGAGCCGGTGATGTGTTGTAAAATGGTATCGGCTTTAGATCTTTCTTTCAAGAAAGTAGCTTGAGGCTGGTGTCGGGTTTCGGTGTTGATGCAGGTTTTTAGCTTTCAATCTTTTTATGTGCGGGTGCATCTTTGCTTTAGCCCGAGCGCCTCAATTGCATGCTGTGCGATGCTTTCACGGTGAGCTTCTTCGGTGTATGTGTGTATATGTATGTATATAATAGATACAAAATACCATTGCTATATTCATCGTCTTAACTGGGCTAACTGACTTAGTCAGCTTGCCTAACTGCTCCATCTGGACTTACCTAAGTCCCTTATCTCTCACTTACTAAGTCCATTAATTGGACTTGGCTAACCGCTCTAAGTTTGGCACTAACTTGTATAAGTCCACTGCATACACAGAAACCCCCACGATCCTTCAAGTAAGCTGCCCCCAAATAGTGCCTCGCGCATTATATGCTCCACACACCCAGGCCTCGCAAGCGCCGCAAAGCAGACAGACCCTTATCAATATCTCTTAGGACTGGTTTCCCAGGAATGCACAGCCCATTTGCAATCGCCGATTCAGCCCAAAGCACTGCAAGCCTACCTGCCAAGCTGCTTCCTGCCTCGCAGGCCCGCAGTCTGCGACGGCGCTGGCATGTTAAGCACGGCGGATCATTCTGCTAATAATGTCAGTAGTAAGCCCAAGCCCCTCGCTAAACGAGCCCAAGCCTTCAAGCATTACCTTGACCAGCACGGCCTAGTCTCTCACATTTCGCAACATCTCAAGTCTGTGACTCACACCCGCTTAGCGATGAGCACCGCGCAGCATTGGCACGCATCATGCATAAGACCATGGCACCAAACACGGACCGTGAAAATTTTCTCAGAATTCCGAAGGACAGCCGTTCCGTCTTACGGCACAAGCCATTCAGGATAAAGACGCACAGTGACCCATCATCCTTGATGAAGGAGTATCTAGAGGCGTGGACTCTTGCCCAGCAGCGGCCAGTGGGCTTCGACGCAAAGCTCCTTGGATTTCTCTGAGGACTTTGCAGAGGAAATTGGCTCCAATGGCAAATTGAACATTGTATGGCAGCGAAAGTGCAGCGTAGAGTGAGACATTGCTTGCCAAAGGGAAGCGGTAAGCAATGCCGAGTTGTCTTCCTTTTTAGGTGCACTTTGACAACCTCTGCTGGAAAACCTTTTCCACGCGAGTTGGCGAGTGACCTGGCAAGGACGTAAAATGGGCAGTAAACGCACTATCAATTGAAAAGAGAGAGGTGTCACTCCGTTTTTTCTTATTTAAGCATTGTGCTGCGCGCCTAGAAGCTGTTGCGGCCATGTGTATGTGTGATCATGACGCAATTGCAATGCGGAGGCCAGCTGAGCGTGCGATGTTGAAGAAATGCGGTGGAGCCTCTGCTAAGTTTGTCGACCCACACATTCTTCGAACTGTACGTGGTGTAGATGCGTCCAAGTGGCTGCAATCAAGTTGGAGAAAGGTTAGAGGCTTGCAGACAACCTTGCACTGCGGCCACTGCTTACGAACTTCTTCGACGGAGAAAATGCCACCAAACCAAAGAAAGCAGTTGGATGTGCGAATCCAGCTCCAATTCCCATGCGATGCGTGTCTGAATCCGTCTGCAGCGCTGGAGCAGTGCATGTGCTGTGCAGTTTGAAAAACAATGCTGGAGCCAGACCAGCACAAATTTGCTCACTTGTGTAATGGCGGCACGAAAGGCACGTCCGCGATATCTTGAGACTGCCGACTTCAAAGACTGTGTGTTGCATGGCAGCTAGGTGCGCACTGGTTTGCGTGTAAGCTTTGCGTTTTTATGAGGCTGTCTGGAAAATTGGCTCACATACAAGGCGATGCTTTACAGAGTGTCTTTGCAGCTATGCAAGTCTTTGCAAAGCGGTGCCATGAAAGGCCGCATGCTCACGGATGCAGTCCAATTAAGTAGACCAAAAATTTCTGCGTTGGAGCTGCTCGTGGAGCTTTTGCATTTGAGCTTGCGAAGCTTAATGGTTTCCGCGTCGGTCGTATGGTCCATCCGTACCATGCCCTTGCAGAAAGCAATGGAGGCAGTGTCCTTGTCTGACGTGCGGAGCAGAGTGAAGAGGTTATCCATGCTCGGTCGGATAGTCGCAGTGAGTAAATGCATCTGAGCAAAAATTGCCACCAGTATGCACTAAATTATGTGCGCTGCCTTGAAATCGAGCGACAACACGTGAAGCTGTGCTTACAGTCATCAAGAAGGTGCGTTGCACATCTGATGCGGGAGGCAGTGACACGCCACATACAGTGGAGAGACAGCTTGGCATCGCTTGCTGAAGAGAATCTGTCTAATCTATTTGGCGTTGGCAGCCAGAAAATTGCAATCCAAACAAGTCCAACTGAAGTCTGTCATTTTGCAGGTGTTTGGTGGAAAATTAACCCTAAGCAGACTCAAGTGGGCAACGGCTAGAATCCAGTCCGTGCAGAAATAGTAGCACTTGGCAACGTTGAACTGCACTGACTCTATGCTTGCGTATCCACCCTTCCAAGTGTTTGTTGGCAGACCAAGCTGCTAGTATCTTCAAAACATCAATAAAATGTCAGCATATCAAGAAACTCACACCATGGGCCAGACTTTGCAATGTGTAACATCGGCTCAATGAGAAACGCAGCGAGGCCTGCCGACACCGGAGTCGCTCTGAAACAAAGCCATTACGTGCATAAGGTTGCATCATGATGTCTTGGAGTTTCCAAATCCGTCTGAGCAAATGCCAAGTTTTGGCATTTCAAAAACACCCAATCCAAGATAGATTGAGCAGATTCCCTTCTGAAGCTACGCACGCATGACGGAAGTGATACTTCAAGCAGGCTGTGCCTGTCAGAACGCGGTCCAGTGCTGGGTTAGAACCTGGTTTCAAGCCTGGATTTAAAACCTAGGTTCAATCTGGATTTAATCTGGGTTAAACCTGGTGCAAACCTGGGTTAGACAGATGTCGAACTCGTTTCGATCCACGATCGGGCCAATGGAACAGTCAGTTTGATTTGGCTGAAACACCAACTCCGTGGAAGGCTTGTTTGGTCGCTCAAGCAACATCTGCGACAACGCAAACATGGCTGGGGGAAGCCAGCTTACGGCGAATTGTGGCGACAACGGTGTTCAACTTTCAGAGCAGAGCCTTTACGGAATGTTTTCGATGAGATCCAAGCTTGGCAGAACCAGCATCCACGACGTTTTGAGGCAGCCAGGTCGGTTTAGTGCTTCAAACAACTGATTGTAGTGCTGTGCTTGACATGTTGTTCTGTCGGATTTCGGATTTCTCAAACTCGTTGGTTGGCAGAATGAGTGAGTAAGCTGGCAGTCCCAAGTAAGCCTAGTTCATTGAATTTTCCGAGAAGAAGACTTTCTGGCCAAGGTTGAGAACCCTTTCTCAGTCGACGACATTCCTGTGGACATCCTGAATGACTTTGAAAGCCTTCTGGACGACCCAAAAGATGTTCTTGCTGATCGCGGTGATGGTGTAAGCCCTTCAGAAAATGTTCCTTCTCACGATGGTCGAGATACAAGTCCGCAGAGACCGGCGCCGCCTTTGACGCAAGCTGCAGCCGAGCGTTCTCAACCTCCTGCCTTCAAGCCACCCTCACCTTCCATCCCTTGTAACGTGAAAGCAGAGCCAAGTACTTGGAAGTTCGCTACATTACACCTGCGCCCAAACGACCAACACGTTCTTCTGTCCTTGTGGTGCCGGTGAAGGTAGAGGAGGATGCACGTCGATGTGCTCAGCTGCCGCTGGATACTTCGAGTACGGGGACCGGGAGTAAAGATTTCAAGGTCTTCTGTCAGCAAGGTCACGATCTGAAGTTGGTTCCGCCGCCTGCAAATATTATCCTGAACCGAAGCGAGTATGCATACTTTAATGTCAGCTGTGATGTATGTGGTACCCAAATCGCGGGTGATTTCCACAGGCGTGATGTTTGTAACTGGACTACTGCTTTGTTTGTGAGCAGACTAAGCCAGCTGGAAAGCGCAGGGTGCGCAGCTGAGTTTTGGGTTTTGCCTGCGATGTTATCTCGTCGCCAAACAGGTGGAGGTAGCAGCTCGCAGCATCTGCAGAACCGACGCCGCAAAAATGCGTCAGAGAAAAGAAAAAGTGCGAAGGTGACGTTCTGCTAATCTACGAGTCTGACAGTGGTGGGTTTTTTGAGGTTCAAGTGGTTTCCGAGGGCGTCGATTTGCGGTTCTGGTGTTTTCCTCGATGGGTGCATTGCAGGATCTGTTGAAGAACATGTGAAACATTCCTGCCCAGTAGGGACATAGAGTAGAGACCAGAAGAGTCTGAACCCGTCCGTGACGTGACAGACTCAGGGCCAGGACACACCAAGCCGTAGGAAGGAAAAAGTGCCCGACATGTGATTAGGAACAGTTAGTGCAGCCTGTTCCAAAACAGCAACAAAAAGAAGTGTGAGACTGAGGTGTGGCTGTACGGGCTGGACAGTTCCTTCCAGAGGCCGTTTCTCACTGGTGGCGGTTTCCTTGTGCTGGTCAAATCCGTGGTTCGTCTGTTGCCTGCTGCATCTTCTTTCTTGCGGCAGAGATGCTGCAAAATTGTTTCGACGGTTTCCTAGTACAAGCTGTTTCCTACCGGTGGTTGTTTCCTGCAAAAGGCCGTTTCCTGTGGCAGGCTGGTTCCTACGCCTGGCACGCCCCCCTTGG